AGTCCAGTCTAGGCAACATAGCAAGACCTCATCTCTACAAAAGAAAATAAAATGATGGATCTTTTTTCTTTTTATATTTTATTCATCATTCTAGTTGTTTTCAGTGGAAAGCCTAGTTACATAAAATAAGGTAAGTCTCCCCCACCCTGCACTTCCATGTTCTTATATATGAGGGGGAGAATAAATGTATTCCTACCTGCATCAGAGTAGTGATTGAAATCAGCACGCTTTGGGGCTGGGTGCGGTGGGTCACACTTGTAATCCCAGCACTTTGGGAGGCCGAGGTGGGCGGATCACGAGGTCAAGAGATCGAGACCATCCTGGCTAACATGGTGAAACTCCGTCTCTACTAAAAACACAAAAAATTAGCCGGGCGTGGTGGCACGTGCCTGTAGTCTCGGCTACTCAGGAGGCTGGGGCAGGAGAATGGTGTGAACCCGGGAGGTGGAGCTTGCAGTGAGCCAAGATCGCGCCACTGCACTCCAGCCTGGGGACAGAGCGAGACTCCGTCTCAAAAAAAAAAAAAAGAAATCAGCGCACTTTGAAAGCTGTGGGTTGGCCAGGCATGGTCACTCACACTTGTAATCCCAGCACTTTGGGAAGCTGAGGCAGGAGGATTGCTTGAGCCCAGGAGTTCGAGGCCATCCTGGGCAACGTAATGAGACCTTGTCTCTACAAAAATAAAAATAAAGCTGTGGGGCTCCAGACAAATACCATTGTCATTATTTTCATCCCACTCATCTATCTAGATTCAGTATGCTCTGTGGGTTCCTTTTCTGCCAGCCTCTTAAACTTTGGTGCTCCCCAGTCATCCGCCCTCAACCTACTATTTTTCTTAATCTTTATACTCTTTATTGGTGGCCTCCTCTCCTCGCAAGTCTTCTCAACTATAAGCCTGTTTAGCCTACTTATCAAACTCCTCACACATATCCCCATGCCAAAAAGCCCTCCTCACTCTCTATTCCTTTCTTTCCTTTCCTGGCCTCATTGACTGGCACTTCTTCTCATCTACTATGTAGTTGTCCAGGCTAGAAACCTGAGCATTAGCCCCATTTCAGCCTCCCTCATTCCACACATTCATTCAATCACCAGGTGCTGTGAATTGTACTTTCTAAATTCTTCTCAAACCTGCTCATTCCTGTTATCCTCCTGTTTGGTCCCAGTCTGCAGTTTCTTGCCTCCCAACCCATCCTCCTATCTGTCAGCCAGAGTGATCTTTCTGAAATGCACATGTGATTCTATCACTGCCCTGCTTAAAGTCCTTTAGCAGGTTCCCACTGTCCTAAAGATAAACTCCATTAACATCGCTCAAGGCTTTTTATGGCCTGACTCTGTCTGCTTCTCTATCCTCCTTTCTCTTCACTTTTTCAATTCATCATATACCTCATCTATTCTGAACTATTTGTGTCTCCATCTCTTGCTATTTTCTTTGTCTGAATGAGTTAGGGGAATCATATTTGACCCGTTCTATCTTTAGACTATTACTTGTTTTGAGCTGAAATCTGCTACTTTGGCTCTTTCATTAGGCCTACTCCCTTTCTGCTTCTGACCATACAAGTTGGTGTTCTCAGGCACCACCAGCACAGAGCAGAGGATGAATTGTTACCTCCTTTCTTTTAGTCACTATATTCCAAATAGCGCCACCTAAAAGAGCACTAGCTTTTTAGTAGCCACATCATAATCCCCTTTTACACATAATCTGTTAAATCATGTCTCCCTTATTCTGTGTGTTTGCACAGTTGATGTTCTATATCTTAACACAGAAGCTGATCTGACATTTGTCCTAATGTAAGTGCTTGCTAAGTTTCATCTTATTTGTTGCAGCCCTTGGTTCAGTCTTTTGAGCAATATTTTTAGCCTGATCCAAAGTCTTATAGTGTAAAGTAAAATAAATCCCCTTTTACCATATAGATAGAGGATCTAGGCCCAGAGATGCTCAACACCAGCCAGAAGTCACACAGCAAGCAAAGCAGCAGCGGCACCCGAGCCAGAGCTCAGGGATCCTGGCCCCACTTCCCATGCATCTTCTAATATGGTACACAAATTCCCATTGCTGAATCCAGCCACTGCACATACCCTTAGCTTCTGAAAAACCTTCATTAAATCTCTCAGATTTTAAGTAGTATTAATTCTGTTTGGCAAGAGAACTGATAATAAAAATAGCACCACTCTGAACAGCTGGAAACCCTGGCTTCTCCACTACGGACAGACTTTGCCACTTCAAAGAGCTTTTCTTCCAAAACTGCAACAGGAGGGGCTCGGTGGGAAAGCCTGCTGCTTTCCTCTGAAGGTAGGCATCTGTCTTCTCACCCATCTGATGGCTGCCCCTCTATTTTAAGATGTCTATTTTAGACACAAAAAATGAAACTTTCCCATGCTATAATTAGGGTGGAACTTTAAAAAGCAAAGTAGTGTAACTTGTCACAAGAGACAAGACAGAGCCAACTTCTGCATTATGGAGCTTAAGAGGAATTTTTTAAAGGCTTATTTCTTAGCTGTTTCATATTTCACTGGAGTAAAATAAAGATTGGCCAATCAATTATAAATCAACAGAGGTGCTGTGCACTGTTCTGTAATAGCTCTCAGATAGAGATTAAAAATTCAGTGTATGAAAGTTGGTCTTTCCAGAAAGAGGAAAGGGCACATCCGTGACCTTGAAATATTATGAACTATAAAGGCTTCCTGCCTTCTCTGTTAAGTGTCTCTGGTCTTTGGACTTCAAGCCTATTCCCCACACTGTTGCCAGGTCTCTTTCTGAAAGTTTATCTGACCTGTCCCTTTTTCCAGTCAGAACTGTCATAATCTATAGAAGTCTGTCAGTGTTAGGATACGGAAAAAAAGTCAGGGGGGAATTGATTGTAAGAACATTGGGGAATCTCACAGCCGTGCTTTAGGGTCATACTGAATGTAGGCCCTGAGGACTGTGGAGCAGCCTGGAAGTTCTGTCTCTCAGCTTTCACATCTCCTCTTCTCCGTGACTTGCCACATTTTTCTTTACAGGTGGGCTGCCTGTGTCTTTCTAGACGCTATGATGGGAAACATGGCTGCCTATAGCTTCTAATACTGTTACAGATCCAGCCACGAAGAGATTATTATTATTATTATTTTTTTTTTTTTTTTTTTGAGACGGAGTCTCGCTCTGTCACCCAGGCTGGAGTGCAGTGGCTGGATCTCAACTCACTGCAAGCTCTGCCTCCCGGGTTTATGCCATTCTCCTGCCTCAGCCTCCCGAGTAGCTGGGACTACAGGCGCCCGCCACCTCGCCCGGCTAGTTTTTTGTATTTTTTTTTTTTTTTAGTAGAGACGGGGTTTCACTGTGTTAGCCAGGATGGTCTCGATCTCCTGACCTCGTGATCCGCCCGTCTTGGCCTCCCAAAGTGCTGGGATTACAGGCTTGAGCCACCGCGCCCGGCCAGAGATTATTTTTTTTCCCTGTTCTCTTTCTTTCACATTGGTTAAGAGCATGACAATTCACTTTCCATTCCTCATGGTTTTGCTTTAACATTGCTTTTCCTGAATAGGTGCCTTCCCCACATACTTCTTTTATAGTGTTTGTCTCACTGCAGGCTGTGTGTCCACCTACTCCACAGACTGTAAGCACCTAGAGGGGAGGGATGTGTTCTTTTATTTGTATTCTTAGTACCTGGCCACATAAATATATGTTAAAGAAATTCATGAGTGTGAATGAATGAATTAATTAGTAATACATTCATTTAGAATATACCCTTTCTAAATTCACCTGTGAAATATCCCAGACTTCAGGTATACATTACTGTCCTAGCTTTTGAACTCACTGCCAACCTTCGTTAAGCTCTCTCTAGCTCAGACATCAGCTCCCCCTTCCACTTCCCCATCCTTTAATCCGCATGGGGCTGGTAGATGTGAATGTGAGAGGTGTGATTGGCAGTGGAAAGGGCATGGGATTTGGAGTCAGGCAGACCCAGGTTCTAGTTTGAGTTGTCCCACTTTCTAGCTATGAGACCAGGCAAGTTGCTCTGAGCTTCATTTTCTTAATCTGTAAAGGAGGTATATAATACCTATCCTTGGATAACACATACAAAACACATCGCACAATGCCAGAAATGCAGTAGGTGCTAAAGAAATGTTTGTTTCCCTTCCTCTAGTTGTGTGTGTGTGTTTGTGGCTTATATATGTGTATACTGTATGCATTTGTGCCTATGTGTACTATTTTGGTGTATTGGTGGCATACAGTATGGAGGGAAGAATGAAAATGTTATTTGCATCATCTGCCTGTGTGGAAGAGAGTTACCTAGGTCTCATCTACCTGGAGGACACAAATGAGGTCACATTAATGGCAGTACTTAAAATGCCACCACTTCCTGCCCACCCCTGTAATTCAGGGCATCACCCCCCTAAATCTCACTCTTAGGTGTTTCTGGGAATCTTCAGAGAGTTTGAGTTTAAGAAGAAACTTCTCCAGTCCTTATTCGTGTGTTCATTTTATGAAGCCACTTGAGAAGAGAACCTCACTGCAGCCAGGGATGGTGCCCTCAATCCACCCTACTTTACCCTACTAGTTGGCAAAGCTATAGTCTATAACAAGGGCATTGTCTCCTGGTGCTCCCATAGTTACCAGTCTACTAGGTGACACAGCATAACAAGGAGTCTTCCTGAGTCAAAATTGTGCAGTGATCTCCAGCAGAATGCTCCCTCCAGCTTGGTCATACCTCTTTCACTCTGGCATTTTCGATAAGCACTACCTATACAATCCCCCACCCTGCCCTAACCTGGTCTCAATGATGTATGTAACCTTTCTCCATACAGAAGACGATATGGTATGTATAATAGTGTTTGGGAAAGGAGAAGGTGGGGAAGGAATTATACTTTCTGTGCATCCCTGTGGGGACCTCTTTTGGGCACTAGAACAGTTCCTAAGCTGGTTAGGCCTCCTAATTGATTCCCTGTCCTCCATGGCTTCCTGGGAATGGTGGAGTTTGTCCCTCGACCTTGCTCATTACCCAAGATCTTTGAACTCACAGGGAGGCATCTGTAACATCGCTGACAAGCAAGAGGTACATCTTGAGGTTCCCAGCGCTGGAGACACTGATGCTGGATGACAACAGACTCTCCAACCCCAGTTGCTTTGCCAGCCTGGCTGGGCTCAGGAGGTAAAGCCATAACCCTTTCTCTGCTTGGGCTCCTCTAATCCCCAGGCTTGCTCACACTCAGTGCTGTTCTAGAAGCCAAAAGGCTTGGGCTTAAACCCTAGCTCCACAATTTATCTCTACTCTGTGGCCATGGGTAAGTCATTTCTCCCCTCTGAGCTTTGGCTCCTCCATAAAAATGGCCATCAGTGAGGACATTTCTGATCACATGACTGAATTAGAAGCAGCAAAGAGAAAGGAAAACAGGAGGAGATTTTACCCAGGATAGGATCCAGACCCTGACAGTAGAGACAGGAAAATTTTTTAAAATAATGAGAATAAGAAAGACAAATTTAATTCCTGAGTTCTAACTGAAGTAAATAAAATAGTGGCATTTACATTGTTAAGCTTTACTTCCCTGGAAAATTTACTTTGGATTCAACTACCATTTACTGAATACTAATTTGTGCCAGGCCATTTACATATTGCCTCATTTAATCTTCACAAGAGCCCTGAAAGGTTAATAACTATTATCCCCATTTTAGAGACAGGGATATTGAATCCCAGAGACAGTAAGTCACTGGCTCAACGCCACACAAGAGGAATAAGTATCCGAGCCTGATTCCTTGTTTTTTCCCTAAAGTGGCTTGGTAAACAATCCTGAGGTATCATTATTGCTATGATTCTATATTCACTTTCCTTAATTGAAGACTGAAGAAGTTAAGCCTGGATGAAAACAGGATTATCCGGATCCCATACCTACAGCAAGTTCAGCTCTCTGACGAGTCAGTGGACTGGAATGGAGGCGGGGGAAGTCCCCAGAAAGAGCCCCAATTCATGCTGCAGTCCAAGCCAAGGATGCTTGAGGACTCAGATGAGCAACTGGATTATACTGTACTGCCCATGAAAAAGGATGTTGACCGGACAGGTGAGTGACACCCCTTGTTCCAGAAATTCTAGCCTCATAGTGGAAATACACTTCTGAGAGTTTATTCTGAAAGCCTCACTTGGTCACGATGAATATCACGAATTGAATTTGCGGATTCTTTGTCAAGGATTTTTGCATCTATGTTTGGGAGATGTGTTGGTGTATTGATTTCTTTTGTTACAGTATTCTTGTTAGGATTTATAATCAAGGTTATGCTTGCCTGATAAAATGTGTTTGGAAGTGTTCATTTTTTTCCATTTCCTAGGAAAGTTTATATACTATTATTATTTTCTCCTTAAAGTTTGGAAGAATTCACCATGAGACCACCTGAGCCTGGAGTTTTCTTTGTAGAATGAGGTTGAAATTATGCAACTTTAGAAGGTTGGAAGAGGTGCTCCTGACACCTGAAATTGAGACCTCTGGGTAAGAGGTGCTGCTTGGCTCTTGGTGTCTCTGAGCTGTGATGGGCTTTGTGTAGCTGAGAAGAGGATACTGGCCAGCTGGTGCTGGTACCTGTGGAGGAGTCACAGTGAAGCAAGTTTATAAAAGTTGGAAAAACTGCAAACTAGATTCAGCTACTGCTGAGGAAAGACTTGCTAGACTACAGCAAAAACAAAACAAACCAAAAATCACATTATTCCAGTGGCATTCACAGGAATCACAAGCAGTCAGGAAACCCATGGGAAGCAGATAGGAAGAGATAAGCCCCCTTTTCCTCTTCCAGCTTTGCAGTCTCCCTTTAGCACCACCCATATTGTCAGAGTCTAACAGGAAACCAGTGGTCAAAGCAGAAATATGGTTTTGAGAGCCTCAGCTCCAGCATTCCAAAGCAGAATAAAGAAAGATGAATTTCCAAGTTAAAAATATTAATAACTGGCCAGGCACAGTGGCAGTTATTTTGGGAGGCCAAGGCTGGAGAATTGTTTTGAGGCCAGGAGTTTGAGGCTGCAGTGAGCTATGATCACGCCACTGCCCTCTGGCCTTGATGACAGAGCAACACCCTATCTCTATAAAAAATTAAAAATTAGCTGGGTGTGATGGCATGTGCCTGTAGTCCTAGCTACTGGGGGCTGAGACAGGAGGATCCCTTGAGGCTGCAGTGAGCTATGATCACGCCACTGCTCTCTGACCTGGAAGACAGAGCGAGACCCTATCTCTATAAAAAATTTAAAAATTAGCTGGGTGTGATGGCATGTGCCTGTAGTCCTAGCTACTGGGGGCTGAGGCAGGAGGATCCCTTGAGCCTGCAGTGAGCTATGATCGCACCACTGCTCTCCAGCCTGGGCAGCAGAGTGAGAGACCCTGTCTCTAAAAATAATAATAATAACAACTTAATAAAAGGCACAATTATGTTATTCAGATTCTCCCTAAAATAATTTTCTGTCTACTTAGTTTGTTAACTTTGGAAATAGGTATATTAAAGTCTATCCCCACTATTGTAGATTTGTCAGTATCTCCTTGCATTTCTGGCATTTTTTTTACTATGAAGTTGGTTTGGTTCTCTGTTATTAGGTTTATGACTTTTATCTTGGTAGATTATGTATTTTAATCATTGTAAAATATCCCAGGTAGATAAATAATTTTGGTTTTGACTTGGGCCTCTGTTTTGTTTGATATATTTATTTTAGGATATCTTAAAAAAAGTATAGTACTGCATATTTTTCCTAATATGAGTCTTAATGAGTCTTTTTTCATAGAAGAATTTAACTCACATGGTGATTATTGATATATTTCACCTTATTTCTACTATTAGTGTGTTTTCTATTTACCTATGCCTTTTCTTCTTGTGAGCACTAAGTTTTCTTTCAATTCCAATCTTTTCACTAATCATTTAAAGAAAGAAATCTCATGTCTAGATCTCTAATGGTTACCTTAAAACTTTTTTTTTTTTTTTTCCTGTTTAGAGACAGGGTTTTACCCTATCACCCCAGGCTGAAGTGCAGTGACACGACCGTGCTCAAACTGTTGTTGAACTCTGGGGCTCAAGTGATCCTCCTGCCTCAGCCTCCCAAGTAGCTGGGACCACTGCACCTGGCTATTACCCTAAAACTTTTAATTCACATTTTAAAACTCACTTTTGTCTATCAACACCTATAATCAACCAAATACATGTCTTCTTTTTTAATAAGAAAATGTTAATATGCATGTATCTATAAAGCCACCCTACTCCCATCACTTCCCATAATGCAGTAAACTCTAACAATAATTCAGATTGGTTTTAATTTTTAAAATTATGTATCAATGATTCTTTAGACTGAAAGATTGAACCTCATTCTTGGGTTCTTTATCATGTGTACATATGTATAACTTAGGAGCAGAGACTTCTGTCTACAATACAACTCAGGTCCTAATACAGTATAATTTTTAATCTCTTCAAAGTTCTTCTTGCCCTCTTATTTGTTTTCTTTCATCCTTAATTCCTATTCCTGTTTCCTATTTTCATATAAATATCTACTCTTATCTTGGATATATTTTCCTGGATATATGTATTTATCTTTGTAAAATATATTTAAGAGTTTTCCTTCTTGCTGTATTTTTTTTTTTTTTTTGAGATGGAGTCTCGCTGTGTTGCCCAGGCTGGAGTGCAGCGGCGATCTCCACTCACTGCAAGCTCTGCCTCCCAGGTTTACGCCATTCTCCTGCCTCAGCTTCCTGAGTAGCTGGGACTACAGGCGCCCGCCACCACGCCCGGCTAATTTTTTGTATTTTCAGTAGAGACGGGGTTTCACTGTGTTAGCCAGGTCTGGCTCTCCTGACCTCATGATCTGCCCGCCTCAGCCTCCCAAAGTGTTGGGATTACAGGTGTGAGCCACCGCGCCCGGCCTAGTTATTGACTTTTAACTAATGCTTAGTATTCTACAGTATATGCTCTAAACACATTTCACACATCTCTTCCATTACTGATGAACACTTAGGTTGCTTATAACTCTCTTACTACAAATAGTGGTACAATGAACAACCTTATGAACATCTTTTGCATATACCACTGTGCCAGGGTTTTCCTGAAATATTTACCCAGAAGTGGAATTGATGGATGACAGAGCATATATATATGTAGTTTTAAAAATTACCACCTGATTGTTCTTCAAAATAGTTGCTTCAGTGTACCCTCACACAAGTAGTACATAAGGGTTCTTGTCTTCCTATGTCCTTATCAATATTTGGTATTATCTTACTTTATAATTTTTCTAAATTTCATTATGCTGGTAGGTGTAAAGTGATATCTTTAAAAACTTTTTAGTTTATAATTTTTGTGGGTACATAGTAGGTGTATATATCTATGGGGCACATGAGATATTTTGGTACAGGCATATAATAAACTCTTTTAGGTATTTTTAAATGTACAGTTGAAGTATTACTGACTATAGCCCCCCTTTTGTGCTACCAAATACTAGGTCTTATTCATTCTTTCTATTTTTTTTTTTTTTGTATCAATTAGCCATCCCCACCTCTCCCCCAGGCCCCCACTATCCTTCCTAGCCTCTGGTAACCATCTTTCTACTCTCTGTGTCCATGAGTCCAATTGTTTTGATTTTCAGATCCCACAAATAAGAAAGAATATGCAAGTTTTGTCCTTCTGTGCCTGGCTTATTTCACTTAACCTAAGGGCCTCCAGTTCCATCCATGTTCTTGCAAATGATAGAATCTCGTTCTTTTTAATGGCTGAATAGTACTCCATTGTATATATGTACCATATTTTCTTTATCCATTCATCTGTTGATGGATATGTAGGTTGCTTCCAAATCTTGGCTATTGTGAACACTGCTGCAACAAACATAAGAGTGCAGATATCTCTCTGATACACCGATTTCCTTTCTTTTGGGTATATACTCAGCATTGGGATTGCTGGATCATATGGTAGCTCTAGTTTTAGTTTTTTGAGGAACCTCCAAACTGTTCTTCATAATGGTTGTGCTGATTTACATTCCCAGCAACAGTGTACGAGGGTTCCCTTTTCTCCACATCCTCACCAGCTTTTGTTATTGCCTGACTTTTAGATAACAGCCGTTTTAACTAGGATAAGATGATATCTCATTGTAGCTTTGATTTGCATTTCTCTGATGGTCAGTGTTGTTAAGTACCTTTTGATATGCCTGTTTTCTATTTGAATGACTTCTTTTGAAAAATGTTTATTCAGATTTTTTGCCCATTTTTTAGTCAGATTATTAGATTTTTCCCTGTGGAGATGTTTGAACTCCTTATATATTCTGATTATTAATCCCTTGTCAGATGGGTAGTTTGCAAATGTTTTCTGTCATTCTGTGGGTTGTCTCTTTGTTGATTGTTTCCTTTGTTGTACAGAAGCTTTTTAACTTGATGTGATCCCATTTGTCTATTTTTGCTTTGGTTGCCTGTGCTTGTGGGATATTACTACTCAAGAAAATTTTGCCCAGACCAGTGTCCTGGAAAGTTTCCTCAGTGTTTTCTTGTAGGTGTTTCACAGTTTGAGGTCTTATATTTAATTCAAATAAAAGGCAAGAGATGGAGTCAAGTTTAATTCTTCTGCATATGGATATCTTGTTATCCTAGAACCATTTATTGAATAGACTGTCTTTTTCCCAGTGTATGTTCTTGGCATCTTTGTTGAAAATGGGTTAACTGTAGGTGTGTGGGTTTATTTCTAGGTTCTCTATTCTGTTCCATTGGTCTATGCGTCCATTTTTATGCCAGTAGCATAGTGTTTTGGTTGCTATAGCTTTCTAGTTTAATTTGAAGTCAGGTAATGTGATTCCTCTAGTTTTGTTCTTTTTGCTCAGGATAGATTTGGCTATTCTGGGTCTTTTGTGGTTCCATATAAATTTTAAGATAGTTTTTTTCTATTTCTGTGAAGAATGTCATTGGTATTTTGATAGGGATTGTATTGAATCTCTAGAATACTTTCAGTACTATGGACATTTTAACAATATTGATTCCTCCAATCCATGAACATGGAATATCTTTCAATTTTTATGTGCCTCTTCAATTTCTTTCATTGGTGTTTTATAGTTTTTATTGTAGAG